AAGCTAGAATTTCGGGCTCATAGGGGATTTAGGACAACCTAACGCTTAATATTTCTGGTGAAATTTTTGTTAGAGAAATTTTCGAAAGCGGCAGGCGCCCATTTCTGAAAGACTGATTTTGGTTGTGTACTACACATTGTTTTCAGATTGAGTGGCATTTGCTATAAAAGTGACCGATTTGATAGCAGTGCATTTGGTCGTTTCGTGCAATTGAAAAGGAGATGATGCCCACATTTGTTAGGGGAGCCACAAGAACACCGCAGCCTTGATTTGATCGATATGTGAGGTTTAACGTTTCTAAACCACCATTTCATTATGAGAGACCCCGTAATGGAGGGCTGCGGAAATTTCGACCACCTGGGGTTCTTTAGCGTGCACCTAAATGTCAGCACATGGACCTGCATTATTTTTGCCTCCACTGCGGCCTAGACGCACCTTTTGCATGACATGCCACGTAAGCGCTGTTGCAAGGCGCAGGCGATGCACTTGACTGTCACATTTTCAGTTTTCGATCTGACCTGACTGAAGTGGTCACATTGTACAATACCCCACAAAAATAAACTGCGGACATTCACATTGGTGCTTGAAGCAGTAATTATTGCTCCGACAACAGGATATTAAGGCGCAGGCGATGTCTCATCAAACGCGAAAATCGACTGGTGTCTACCGTGGGGGCGCCAACACCAGTGCTGCCAAAAATCATCATGTGACAAAGCCATCATATGACGTCACCATGTGACCTCAAGCGTCACAGATTGCCACAATCAGTGGCGTTATCCTGACTTCATTAGAACGTCACACGGTGACATGATGGCTTCATCCCATAAAATCATTGATTGGTCAAAAATGAGCAGAACACGGAGGCTGTGAAGAACCCCGTTAATTAGAGTTACCACAAAGGAGCCATATACAGCAACACTAACGTTGGCTGTCGTGGCGGTATCAGTACATCGAATGAGAAGGAAATGAAGATGACTTAGGTTAATCCACAAGTGTCCCTGTGATTTTAAGATGAACATCAAACTACTCATAAGAAAGCTGTTAGCTTTATTCATCTTCACTATGAAAGGCTTTTTTTTTTTCGAGTTAGCATTTCCACTGAGTTCAGTTTAGCTATCTCGTTTCCCGTCGTTCTATTGAATCTTGAAAGTTTCTTGATACCCTGATTCAGCTTCCGAGATTTCCCCAACCTTGCAACTACATCATAACCGCTAAACGTATACATACACTAGACATAAACACACTTCAGTTTAATATCACAGCTTTGATACGAGTAAATGTTGTTTTCTCTTTCTATCTATTGGACCGCATTACTCACCCTTATAATATTCTGATGTCTTGGCGGGTTCCTATATTGTATATCTCTAGCCACTGATATTTAGCGCGTTCTATTTTGTTTAGCAATCTTTTAAACTCGCTACTCACCGCTTCTCCAGCAACAAACTATTTGAGGAAGTAGAATATTTTTGTTGCTAGAAACAGGTCACATGCTCTAGCTCTGCCAAAGATAGAGAAGTTGTGAGAAATGAAAGTCTGGGAATAGCGCTTTAGGGTGGGTTTACTTTCTCTCCAATAATGTGCACTTGATCGATATGCATATATTGGAAAGCCTAGGTATTTTGGTGGAACACAAGACCATTCTAAACCCTGAAAATTGGTTGGTTTATATGTCTATGGGCCAAACAACAGTCCCAAACTTTCAGCAAAGTTCCTTTGCGCGCAAGAACTTTTTCCTTATTTACCGATTGTTCACAATTTTTTGCACTAGAAAAATCTGAACAAAAGAGCGCTAGGTCATCCGCGTACGCCAATACCTTTACCTCATTCCCATAAGCACAGAAACCGCGGATGTTACTAGATCAAATTACGCTCAAGCACAGTGGCTCCAAGTAAAGAACAAGAAGCAATGGCGACAACGGACAGCCCTGTTTCACAGACGAGTTAAGAAACACGGGCTTTGAAAGATAGCCATTAACAACTAAACGGGTTGAACATTCATCGTAGCACAGTCCCACAACTTTACATATAATGGAGCTAACGTTGGCATGCTCGAGAAGAAAAAGACAGAAAAGAATGGCAAACCCGATCAAAGGCTTTCGCCAAGTCTACTTGTGGACCTGTATGGCCAGTTGCTAGTATTGCTAGTACTTGTATTGCCAGTTGTTCAATGAGTGTGAACAATGTTTCAACACAGCGCGAGCAATGTGTATGTTAGTCTGTATGCTTGGAACTCGTTTGTGAATTTGCCTTAGGCAGGCTAGATGTCGGGAAAGGAATCTTGTTAATAGGAGTAATAAAGCGTTGTAGAAAAGCAAAGGAACAACCAGGGGTCCAATAATTCGCATTGCGTAACGGCTGCCATCCAGAGCTTCAACCCATTACAAAAGCTTGTTCTTGATCACCAAAAAACTGCGGCGCATACCGACTTCAGGCCTAATTTTACATCGTCGTCAGGCACTGCATAAACATTTGCAAAAAATTTCTTGCATCTGTGTAGCGGATACCACGCTTCTCCGAACAAATACGAAGAATAGCATAGTCAATGTACGCCTAATACACAGAATTTATGAGTACATATATCGTAGTGCATACCAGGCAAGTTTGCTTGTAGCAGTTACCCAACGAGTGTTTATAAAGGCTCTCAAAAGCCAATCTTCTAGCTTTTCCTGTGACTGTGTTGCATGTTCCACGCCGACCTGGAGGATTTTTTGCCTATCTCAAGTTGCCTCTTCGCCGCTTTGGTGCTTCGGCTGTACTTGAGAGCGCGTTCAATTCTCTCAAAAGCTATACCCTCTTACATCGGATATCTTACGCTTATTTTTCAATTTCAAAAGCTCTGCCAGTTCTATTTTTTCTGTGGTGTTTTATGCCTTCATGCTTTGACGTTTTCAATAAGATTCTTCATCTCCTTGGACTGCTTGTTAGTGTCCTCTCTAACTACCGCACATCCAACCGTTACTGCGATGAGGAAGTTACTCGATCTAAATTCTTCCGCGCTCGATTCAAGTGCGTAAATTCTGCATGTAGCTATACTTCAAACAAGCGTCGTACGTTGACCCTTTCATACGTGTGAATTTAAATTAAAACAAATGTAGAAGGGACCCATAGAGAAGGGTTTTTCAATTCGCTAACGTGAAACCTGGGGAGGGGGCAAAGAATTTCGTGGGCGCCCGTGCTTCCCACAGCGTGCTTCACTTCCCACCGGCCCACTAACAAACCATCACTTTGCAGGTATATGTTTCAAAAAACGGACTTTCATATAGATTACTTTGCCATAAAAGAGCTCGTTTCTGCTCTGGTTCCAGATAGGAGACTTGAGCGCCTTGGTCAACTTCGTCGGGGAATGTGACACCACTGCTAAGTCAAACATAATGCTTAGGCAGTAACAGCAAATGCCTAATTCATAATAATCATGGTGTGGACCGCTGGTGAAAAGTGGAATCGATCCAATTATAGTGGCACATACCTCTTCATGATGAACCGTGACGATGACACGATATGAGCCGAAACCATCACATCACACACCGAGAAGCCGAGACGCTAAAGAGCTTCTCCCCTTAAAAAAGCACAAAAACATTAAAAGAAAATCTGTTTAAGCTCACAATGCGCACGCAATGCAACTTCTTTTCCCCGTCTCACCTTTAGCTGCTTAGGGTCAAGTACATTAATCGAGACGAAGGATGCTAAGAAATCAATTACAACAGTAATTCCGCCCGTATAGTACCGTGCAGTTTTTTTCTTGGTTCTCTATAAATGACGACACACACAAAAAAACTCATATTTAATGAAACCATACGATGCATACTTGGAAAAGTAGTGCTGATCCCCATTAACGACTTGTCGTAAACTGCTGTGATCTTTTCAAGCCAACAAACGACAGGCGATGCGACGCTAACCAATCGTAGTCGCACGCGAAACGCTCGTTTCCCGCTTCAGCTTTGAGAGCCCACACAATTTCCGCTCTTATGCTGCGAGTTCATCAGTGCATGTCAGGCGGGTAGATAATAAATAGGGGCGCATCAAGCGCTTCAAGCAAAGGAAATTGGACTTCACGAGAAACAGGAAGAACGTATCAATGGGCTCGTCAGAATATTCTGCTGGTTTACACCCGTGCTGGCGTTGCCGTTAACGCATATCAGACGTCAGTCCAAACGGAAGAGAGGCAGAAGGGAGAATTTGCAAGTGGCTCAGCCCCAGCTTTCTGGATAAACTACAAAAGGTACTCAATAAAAGCTGGCTGGCATAATTAGTGCGGAAGTGCACCGAGATGTCCAGTTGATCCTTAATACGAAAGCACTAAAATTACTACGCTGAAAATTGTGGGATGCTCTAGGTCAATGATCGTCAAAACACTGCCGTTCACAAAAGTTTATCATGAAGTTCGAAAGAATTCGATAAATGTGTGAGCTTTACAAAAACAGCTGATTGTGAGCTATCGTAGTGATTACGCTTTAGGGTAATTCTCTAAAGCCTGTTGCGTCGTATGTGCTGCTAGGCTTTAATATAGTTGCAGCGGGAAAACTTCGCGCCGTATTTTTGATTGTTTTCTCGTTGCACGACGAAGGCACTACTTAGTGTCACACGAGGTAATTGCTGGGCGTTCTTAGTCAAGTATTCAGGACATGATGATTCTGAACATGCAGGTAACTAGACCACAGGTGCGAAACGTCTATCAGTACTACGATGGCAACAGTTGTACGCATCTGCCAGAAAAGGTAGTGTGATTGCACATCCTGTGTTGGCGAGGCGGTATTGCGACGATAGAGGAAAGCCCCGCATCACTACAGCCCCTCCAAATCACTTTTATTGCTGGCATTGCGAATTCTCTATAACAAATGATCTCGTACACCCTGAGCAGTTGTACGGGAGTCAGTTCGTCCTGAGCAATGAGTGGCAAACCGCGTGAAGAGCGAACTGTTCCAGCACGCGAATGCGTGTACATCATCAACTGCCCCCATAATGCGAGCTACAGGCGGTGTAATAGCCCAGCGTGCACAATAATGGCAATGCAAGCGAAGGAAGTTTCACCGGGACGAACGAGATTGCAGCATGCGACAAGCAAGCTCAAAAGTTACGCGTGGCTGGTGCCCCTAGTTCACACGGAATTCTGGATTTCCGCGGGGTTCTCACTCATACAGCCTTTCTTTCCTGAAGAGGTGAGTAACATTTGCTTTCAAGCCAGTTGGCCTACGACAAAAAGGGGTTTCAAGCACAAACTAGCGCAATACTCAGAAAATTTGTTCACCTTTGTCCGTTGGTAAACGTGCGTACTTTTGCGTTATTCTGGGCTTAACCAGTACTGAGTGTCTCTCTTAACGAAGCACCGCCAGATTGGCAAGTGTGCGTGGCCAAGTACGCGCAAGATTGTACAGTGGTGCCTACCATGGCATATTTTCGAGTTGTCTGTAAATTGTCCGGCAGCCCCTGCGAGCGCGCATCAGTCCCACTTCGTTGCTTACGCACTCAAAGTTACTTGCGAAGCTGATGTTATCGTCATCAGCCTCACTTCGCCCATTGCAGGGCGAAGGTCTCCTTCATACTTTAACAATTAACCCGGTCGTGCTTCCTGCTGCCTCGTTGTGCCAGCAGATTTCTGAATTTCATAGGCTAACCTAATTTCCTGCTTTCCCCCCACGCGGTTGCCATCTCTTAAAAACCAGTCAGTTACCCTTAATGACCGGTGGCTATCCTGCTTACGTGCCATGTGCCCTGCTCATGTCCATTTGTTCTTCTTTATTTGAACTATGATATTCCACTGAGTGACTGTCAGTTCTCGTGCAAGTGATCGAAGCCTTGTAGCGGCGTTCATTCTTGCTAATGCTATAGCGGCATCCTCGCGAGAGAATCGGGTTGCCTCATCTGCACGGTTGTTTCCATCGATGCTGCAGTGGCCCGGTATCCATTGATACGCTACGTCTTGTTGTTTCTTCATAGCCCGGCGATGAAGCAGTCTTATTTCAGAGACTATCTGCTCATTTGGTCCACGACGTTATGGCGATGGAAATCCCTGGACGACTGCTTTAGAGTCGCAGAAGGCTGACCATGTATGCTGTGGTTCTCCAAGTAGGAACTCCCAAGTGGCACGAATTGCGGCGAGTTCTGCAGCCGTGGATGATGTTAAATGCGATGTCCTGGACTTTATTCTGATGGATTACTCCGGAACTACCATTCACCTGCTGAGCTTGCTGAAGTAACCGATTGTAAGCATCGTCGAGGATCGTACTGCTGTCCTTTTTTTCTCCCCTTCAACATCTCTTTTCTGTTATCTTTTATTCCCTTTACTCCCTTCTCCAGCACAAGGTAGCCAGCCGGTCTGAGAACTGGCTAACCTCCCTGTCCTTCCTCCTTCCTTCTTCCTCCTCCTCCTCAACTATGATATCTTTAATCACGGTTTATTCCCTGACCCACTCTTCTCCTTTGTCTATTAATGTTACACCTATTATTTTTCTTTCCACCGCTCGGTGCCACAACGTCAATTCAAGCTGAATCATCTTTGAAAGCCTCCAGGTTTCTGCTCCGTATGTACGTATCGGCAAGATGCCGCCATTATATAACTTATTCTTGAGGGTTAGTGGCAGATTACCATTTACGATATGAGAATGCTTGCTGAATGTGATCCACCCAATCCTTATTTGTCTAGCTTTTTCACTCTCATGGTTCGGCTCCGCGGTTACTACCTGTACTAAGTAGACATATTCCTTTGCAAGTTCCAGCGTCTATCCACCTATTGCTAAGTGCTTTTTTCTGTCGTGATGGTTGCACATTATTTTATACTTGTTAATACTTGTTAAGTACTTGTTAATTTTCAGACCTACACTTCTGCTTTCCGTTTCCAGTTCAGTAATCGTGAGCTGTAATTCGTCCCCTGAGTTACTCAACAAGGCAATGTCATCAGCGAATCGCAGGTTACTAAGATACTCTCCATTATATCTTATCCAAAAGTCTTCCTAATCTAGGGTCCTGGAGACCTCCTGTAAAGAAGCGGTGAATAGCATTGGAGAGATCATGTCTCCTTGCCTTACCCCCATCTTTATTGGGATTCTGTCACTTTTTTTATGGATAGCTATGCTGGCTGTGAATCCGCTGTAAATTCCTTCCATCATGTTATGAAGTATTTGTCGATACCCTGATTACACAGCGCCTGCATCGCTGTTGACGTCTCAACTGAGCCAAACACCTTCTCGTGATCTACGAAGGCTGTGTATAGGGGTTGGTTGTGTTGCGCGCATTTCTTTATTATCTCCTTGATAGTATAAATATGGGCTATTGTGGAGTAGTCTGTACGAAATCCTGTTTGGTTCCTTGTTTGATTGAACTCTAATGTCACACTAACTCTTTAAGCTGATCATCCTGCCAGTTTTTAAGGTATTGGCGTCTCATTTCCTATAAATTAAGATGATGTTGGAGTATCTCCAAGATTCTGGTACTCTTACCTTCAAGAAACACTTCGTATATAAGGTGGCCAGTTTTTCTAACACAAATTTCTGCGTCATCATTCAGCAGGTCCAACCTAACATAATCCTCCCCAGCGGCTTTGCCTCTTTGCATTCATTCCTAAGCTTTCCTTACTTCCCTGTCGTTACTGGAAAAATGACGAATTTCTCATGGCTATTATTGCTTCTTATATGCTATCATGGTTGTTTCGGCTTCTGTACAGCTATCTGTACAACTCCTACACTACCACAACTATAATATTTATATTAGTTATGACATTGCCTTCTTTGTCCGTCAATGAAAACATAAAATTTTTGCCGGTGCAGAAATTTGTCCTCGCAGCTTCTAGGCTTCTGCTGCTTTTCACAGCCTGCTCAACTCTCTTCATGTTATACTTTCTGATGCCGGCTACCTTACCCATATTGTTCGACTTCAAAAGCTTCACTAGCTCTATTTTGTCGAATGCATTTGACGCATTCACGCTTTGTCGTCTCTTAATGTAATTTTCTTCTCCTGAGATAGTTTGCCAGTGTCCTGTGTAGTATTCATACCTCCGGCTTTCATTCCACACTCATCGATGATACTAGTAAGATTATTATTTGTTGTGTCAACGCTGACGTCAGTTACCTCTTTTGGACTCCCAAATCTATTCTGAAGCAAAACTCTGAATTTCTGTGCTTTTTCTCTCACCGCTATTTCATTATTGGCTTCTTCCGTATCGGCTCTTGTCTCTCCTTTTTTATATCTAGGGGAATACGAGCTCTTACCATTCTATGGTCACTGCATCCGATTTTTCCAACTACTTCTACATCCTGTACAATGCCTGCGTTTGCACACAGCATAAAGTTTCTTTTATTTTATTTTCCGCCATTAGGACTGCACCACGCCCCCTTAGGTTAGACCATTTTCTGAAGGTATTCAAGATCCGTAAATTATTCCATTCTGCGAACTCTACTAATAACTTCCTTCTGGACCTTCTAGATTCGATGCCATGTTTCCCCACTGCATGATCTCGAGACTTTTTCTTTCCTGCTTTGGCAATAAATTTACCCATCAAAATAGTATACTTTGTCTACACTTCATTAATGGCTGATTCTACATCTTCACAGAAGCATTCAGCCAAATAATTATAATGACCAGATGTAGGCGCGTAGGCCTGAACCATTTTCATCTTGTAGCTTTTGTTAAACTTAATTGTGAGACTTTCCACCCACTCAATGACGCTATAGTATTCCTCTATGTTTGATTGATATGTGGGGTTTAACGTCCCAAAACCACTATATGATTATGAGAGACGCCGTAGTGGAGGGCTCCGGAAATTTAGACCACCTGGGGTTCTTTAACGTGCACCCAAATATGAGCACATGGGCAGTATTCCTCTATGTTGCCAGCAGTATTCTTATGTTTAAGAAACCCTGCCCGTAGTTTTTTTTTTCTGTCAACTAATTCATGACAGCATAGGACATGTCTGTTCTTCAGCACTGTAGTTGCCTGACTTGTCCTCGCTCATCGCTATTACACACCATTTAACACCCTCTAACTCCTCAAATAGCACAGCTAGACTACCTCTCACTAGATAGCGTTCTAGCGTTGAACGTAGCCAAGTTCAGATATCAATGGCGGACAGCTCAGACCCAGAGATTATTAGCATCCTGGTCCCCTTCATTCTTTTATTTTATTTTTTATTTATCTGAAATTATTATTCATACTTAACCACTATTCCCCTTTTATTAGTTTTGAACGTAAAGTTTCCTATTCGCAAAAGCGTAAGTAATGCTTCTCATCAGGTGTACTTTGAACATATGACTTCTCCATCATGAATGCATTGCTGTGGCGCGACGCCTTGAAATCAGGACAAGAAAAAATCAGGTATGCACGAAGTGACCGATGATGAGTGGGTAAAGCAGTGGGATCGTTCTGTTTTGCAGTCAAGTCACCCGTGACATTGACCACTCGCGCATGTAAATGAAGGACCAAAGTGGTGTACGGTTATATAGAAAGTTTAGCCGCTATAAATGGTATGTTGTGTTGAGTTGGGATTTTTTTTTCGCCTTGATTATTATAGCTTTGTAGTATCGTATCTAGAGCCCAAAGTTGGCAAAGACAAAGTCTGTGCACGTTCCCCTGGTGGTTGTTGGTTGTTTTCAGTCATGCGAAACGCATAGCATCGAGACGTCATATACTGTAGGAGCCAGTGGTCGTCTATGATCAACAGCGTCATCATTATGGCGTATCGTGGGTACCTCGCATGTGGTGTACCATGATGGTACAAAGAATGTGTGGTCTATAACGCACTTGTTCTTCATTGTCATCATCGCCATCTAGGAACGACGGCGGACATAGCTCGATCCTAAGCTTCGCCACTAAGATGTAGGTAATTGTGCGTTGATGCTTACAGTCTAAAAGTAAACGCGTCCAAGGCAAGTGTGGCAGTTTGGGCTAGTTGGCATGAAATGACGATAGTTATAGCACGAGCTTTCGTGTTCTTCTTGTGTATTTGCCGTCGTTCGCTTCGGCGCGAATTCAAGACATAAGCCTTGCCCTGCAGGCAGCACATTTCAATGAGACTGGTTTTGATTGCCTCCTGTATTAAGGCGCAGGATGGTGTAATTGACGACACTAGAGATGTCATGCTACACTTTATCAGTATAAACTGATTCAATGAAATGCTTTAATGACCCTTTGAGAAAATTCATGCATTTTCCGAAAGCCCTCGCAATATAAGTATTTTAGGCGGACCACAGCGCGCCACAAGAGCGACTGTTGCCCTGAACCGCGAAATGTTCTAGCTTTGATGTTACGATTGTCCAGTGATTTCTTACTGCAAAACGCCACGTGCTCTAGGCAACTTCCAGGGGGTTGTCATCATGGAAGTACAGTTTCGTCTTCTCTGCGTACAAGTTCGGAATGCTGCTGGGCTCAGTACTCGCGGAGCGAATGGTAAGCCAACCAGCTGGCGCGTATGTCTGTGCTTGCCATTTCCGGCTTTTTGTTGTTTGTTCGATTGTTTATTATTTGTTTGCGAGTCCTCCAAAAAGTACGGTTGTTATAGATGCTGCCAAAAAGGTGTTCCCGTCTTGTATCCAGTAGAGGCAGCTTGGGGGGGGGGGGGGGCGAATGAAAATGCCACTTGTTATGGAATGACCATTACGCGATAATTCTATGGAAAACGTTACGCGCGCGCGTGTGTGTGGTGTTGTGTGTGTGTGTGTGTGTGTGTGTGTGTGTGTGTGTGTGTGTGTGTGTGTGTGTGTGTGTGTGTGTGTGTGTGTGTGTGTGTGTGTGTGTGTGCGTGCGTGTGTGTGTGTGTGCGTGTGCGTGTGCGTGTGTGTGCGTGCGTGCGTGTGTGTGTGTGCGATTGTTTATTATTATTATTGTTTAGCATATTGCTTTTTGTCATACGATTTTTTTTTATTTTACGTTCTTCGTAAACGCCTCATTTATTTTTTTATATACATATAACATGTTCCTACTGTTGTTCAAAATGGGCGACCTTCACCCATACACACGCTCATGCGCCATGAACTCCCCCCCCCCCCAACCAACTACCACTCAGCTGCGTGTTATGATCACGTTATGCGAATCCCAAAGAGAGATCTGAGAGCCAACGTCCAACAACAAGAAAGAGAAACACTCAGCTGCCCCTGCTACTGCTGTTTTTTTTTTTTTTACTCTGAGTGTTTCGAATAATCTTTGTTGCGTGAGTTAATCCATAGGAGCTGACAGACATGCTGGTGACATTTTAGTGTATTTGGTCGAGTATAGGGTGACCTCAGAGTCTGACTGCACTGGCGCACCCGAGAGCTGTAACGTAACAAGGTGCTTGCTTTGCCAGCGTCTGTATTCTGGCCATTTCTTCCTCCTAGATTTCGGTCAATGGTTTAAACGCGATAGCATTAGAGAGCTCGTGTTGCGGAAATTCTGCCGTCGGCATCGGCCATTGCGTCGGCACTGTTGGTTGTGAGCGAAAAACCGTCCGTGAGCGAAAAAGCTCGTTACAGACATCGCCGCGGGAAGCTGCTACTTGTCCACGCGTTTGCGCACGATCACACTGAAAAAGCAGCACATTCAAAAAAAAAGAAAGAAGTGCTCGAGATCACGAGGCGCAGTGGTTTCTCTGCCCCTGCCACCCCTCCCTGCTTAGATTTGAGCGCTTTCATCGGGACGAGAGAAGAGAGAAACCTTTGTAACTCCACTCGCACTGGGCGGATTCGTAAAATTTTTACGGCATTAAATTCATGAGGCAATTAGCTCTTCTAGTGAATTTATTCCATGGTTACTTGAAAAAGTGTTTCAGGGCCCCTCTGACGTATTTTGTTCGACGCGACGAAAACGAGCTTATTCGGTGATTTGTAGGCGCATTTCGGAGGCCATCAAATTACGTCGAAAAAGGCCGAGATAGTGCATCCATCGCCGCTAAAAACACACAGGAACTTTCAAACAGCTCTAAAAATAGACAACTATGTCCATCTAGCGCAAAACTTATCATGCCTTTCCAGAGGCGTTGATCAAGCAAACAGCAAACGCTAGATAATGTGCTGCCATCTGTGAGGCATTGTGGGGCTCTTTATGGCCTCCGAGATGACGGGCGCGAGGCGTGTATCTTGGAGGCCATGCGACTCTTGCTTTAGATCAAAAACCTGTATGGAAAATTCCCGCGCACGCGCGGATACAATCTACTGTGTGCGTGTGTGTGCGTGTGTGCATGTATGTGTGTAACAAAACATAATAAGTATGCACTTAGCGGTTGAAGGGCGCGCTAGGGGTCGGATTTTGCTATCGCGTTCAACTCTTAAAGACGAAGCTTAGAAGTCCCCCATTTTGTTTTTGTTTTTTGTTTCGTGGACAGGTGCACGTCCACGAAACTTCAGCTTTTTTTTTTTATCTTGGCTTCGGAAGTAGAAAAACTTGCAGCAGCTGGTACTTAGGTAGAAGACAACGGTTCCTTTCCGTGAGGCAGATGACGCCACACACGCCACGTCAGTGTTGCAGTAGGTGGCGGTGGGCGGGTTTACAGCTGGCAACTTCTAGGGCTCATGATGCAATGAAATCGCAGCCCGTTTTCCAGTCTTGCAGTCCATTTGTCTTGTAGTCCATTTTTCAATTATATATAGACGCACAATAGACCGACCCCTTGCTTCTACTTTTCACTGAAAACAGGAATTTGGTGGATGTCTATGTCATGGCTCCTTTAAGAGCCTTTGCGATCGCCTTCCGGTAGCAGCTGTTAGCGTGCTTCTTACCACACGCCTCTGCGTAATTCGTCACTCACATTGTTTTTGGAATTGTGCGGAAGATAAATTAATTCCTGGTTATTTACCTGCCCCTACCAAAGCTAGTACCTCTACAGAATAACTAATTATAATGCTTATCTATGAGATATCAATATTTTTCATAACTAAATGATTTTTTTATCTTAGGCGTATTTTATTACGGTTTCCCAGGTATCTCAAATCTCTTCATCCGAGCTCCTTTATCACGTCATTTTAATATCAATTGTTGCACACGGGCTGGCTTTATCATCATTGTCTCATTTCTGTTGATGCCTGACGGCATTATGGCCTCATATCTATGGTATTGTTAGACCATATTATTCACAATTCACAATGAACCATTAATACAAAAAGTATAGGGTGCAATATTATTAGTAATTGTAACGTAAATATGAAGAAAGAAAAGTTGACCAAAAGATAACTTGATGCCGGCAGGCATCGAACCTTGTGACTTTGGTGAATTTTCACTTATATTCTTTTATTTTATTTACTTATTTACTTATTTAAATAATTATTTTTACTTACTTATTTTTTTTTATTTTTCAATTATTTCCTTTCCCGCAACACCTCGTATACCCATTGATTGATTGACTGTTATTGTTACTGTTATTGTTTTTCAACACAAAAAAATCTAGAAGAACATTTTATTGATTTTCTTACCAGCTCAAGACATGGCCTCCAACATCTTGCTATGTTATCGGTCAAGGTGGCTTCTTTATATTTCTCATTGCATTCGGGTAAGTAAGTTCATTTCTTTCTTTCTTGATAAACGAAATGATACGCTAGATAGTGACAAGGCACGAATATCACTTATTTTGATTTATTTTCTTTACTGGGCCTTCACGTAAACTGGTAAGGTGCATATTCATATTCAGCTGTGAGAGCTAGATAAGGAAACCCAAGGAGTTCAACGGTGTTTTACGATTCCTGCTACCAAAGCCTACCATACATCAGGGAAGTGTAAACTATCGAAAACTGAAGTATTAAAGGAAGAACAAGGAAATAAAGAAAGCACTGTGGCTTCGGTTGTTTGTTTTGGGGGGGGGAGTACCTCACATTGTCACAGAACAATGAAGAAGAAGGAAAGTGAATCATAGCCGTACCTATAGGATTTTTTTCCGGCGGGGGAGGGGGGTCGTGCGCAGAACGGCTAACTTAAGGTACTGGTGGTTGCTTTGAAGAGATGTAAACGTTCTAGAATCATAAAAAAAGAAGCGTCAGGCCTGCGCCGAACGCGGAGTACAGGCACAGCGAAAGCTGTGAGCACGGCATTTCGGTGCCTTTTTTAAACACTCTTTCTGTAACTTCTACAAGCACACTTGCAGGGCAGCAACAACGACATGAATCATCTTAATTTTGTGTGTTGTGGGAGGTATTCACTATGCCACACTTCGTCATTCTTCGGAGAAGCGTGGTACTAGCTACACACTTGCAAGAAATGTTGTGCAATTTTTTTATGCTTTGGCTGACGACGATGGAGAATTCTGTATGAAGTTTTTGTTCGCCGATCCTCCAGCGTGGGCACGCGTCACATCTGCAAAAAACTTGACTTTACTCTTAATTTTGTAATGGGATGGAGCATTGGACGACCCACTCGTTACGCAATTCGCATTGTGTGACGTCAGGTTGTTCATTCGCTGTTCTGAAACACTTTATTACTCATATTAACGCGATTCCTTTGCCGACACCAAGTTTGTCTAAGGCTAGTTTGCAACGGAGTTTCAAGCACCAGCGTCACTCTGTGGTAGAATACTGGGATTGCACGCAGAGGACATGTGTTGGAATCCCACTGTGTCCGTAATGTCTTTATATACTTAGTTTTTTTTCTTGATTTGCGCGATTTTGGTTACGGACACCGACGGCAGACAATTACGGCGCACGTGATTCTTGTTGCGATCTCATAACAGCTTTTGCTGTAAAGCTAAACGACGGAGAAATTTCGGGAGCGGCGGGGTAAAGGAATGCTACCCTTCGGCATCTCCCCCCACCCCGTAGTTGCGGCCCGGCTCTAAACAATAATAAAACATTGACAAACACAGTCAGTCAGTCTTACGCCCATATGACTTTCGCTGCATAGGTAGGTTTCCATCAACTAAGCCGTCTTACACGTTGGACATGTTTATGTCTTATTCTGTGCTTCGACGTCATTTCGACGGCATAAAATGGACCTTTGTCCATCTATCTATAGTTCCTTTGCATATGCCTAAATCACTTATTTCACAATTTATGCATAGAAGCCCGCCTCCCTCCCTCCATATAGCACACAAAAACACACACACACACACACACACACACACACGCACACACACACACACACTCACACAGGCACGCACGCACGCACACACCACAAACACACACACACACACACACACCACACCACACACACACACACACACACACACACGCACGCACGCACGCACACACACACATGCACACCACACACACACACACACACACACACACACACACTCACACACACCACACACACACACACACACACACACACACACACACACACACACACACACAAACACACACACACACGGGCGCGCGCGCGCGTAACGTTTTCTATAGAATTATCGCGTAATGGTCATTCCATAACAAGTGGCATTTTCATTCGCCTTCCCCCCCCCAAGCTGCCTCTACTGGATACGAGACGGGAACACCTTTTTGGCAGCATCTATAACATCCGTACTTTTTGGAGGACTCGCAAACAATATGTACATCGTCGGCATGTTGACGGTCGTCACGACGAGATTCGACCAGAACAGCGGCATCTTCATAGTGAGTCGCTCTCATATTATCGCCCATGTATCGACTTTCATTTGCGGAATTTCGGTATTAATTTCAATCTTGATGTGCATTTGTAAATGGTGACACCTACCTACTGACTATACCATTTGAATAATATGACATATTTGATTTTAGGTAGCTTCCTACGTTACTATAAATATTTTGCTCAATCCGAAAAAAATACTTAGAGGAACCTTACACTTTTTGAATAATCGTCAGATGAGTACACTGCTATCAAAGTATATAGCCTCACCAACCGACTGCTTCAAATATGTCTTGTCTGGCCAGGTCAGCATGCAGAACACGTGTGCTCTATCAGTCACTGGCAGTGCCTTAACGCGTATGACGTCTATCAAAGAATCTGCTGTGAGCGGCGAGTGATCTCTATCTATCTATCTCTCTATCTATCTATCTCTTTATCTATCTATCTATCTCTATCTATCTATCTATAGATCTCTCTATCTATCTCGCATGTTCAAAGGAGCCTCGACTGAACAGCAGTGTTTTCTCGTAATCCTTGAAAAGTGCTACAAAGCACCTTTAACTAACCCACAGTGCCAAGACATAATTTTGCTAAACATTCATAGGTGAGGCTATAACGACGGCATTTTTTAAAGGAGCATTTCTCTAAATACTATGTTTAGAATATCTATATTCTTTTTCTGTGCCTATATGCTACGTATCGCTAAATTTACTACAGCAAAGGGCGCTACACAGTACCAGATATTATATTAGCAAAGTAATCAAGCCCACTGAATAAAAACGAAAGTCTAACATCTAGTTTTCATTCGCAGGGATTTTTCGAATTCCTATGGGGCACAGGCAACATGGCAGGAAGCTACATCGGAGGATTTTTAATAGATGTAAGTAGCAAACAATTTTATAAGACTTTCTCGTAACGCTATCTTCGCTTTCCAAAAAGTGAGGCATGCTTTGTTTCCCAATTTATATTATATTTTTACCACTCAAAAATTTAGAAGAAGCCAGCTCCGCTTGGGCACAACTATAGGTAGGATAATCACGTATTTATGATTTCCCATCAAAATTATGTAGCCTCTTTCACCTCATGAAATAAAAAAGTGTTCACAATCGGCAACTTACCTTTTGAGTCTGTTCAATATAGTATGTATATCCAAGTTAATAACTAACACAGCAGCTTGCCCCTAGAGAGGGGCATTCACCGATGAAAACAAGTTAATTCGGATGGCATTTACAAACCATGGCATGCAATTTACAAATCTCCACAAAGTGAAAAGTGTACAATAATTCCATGCTTGATATTATTGCAGTTCTATAAAAACACTCAAGCAGGAAACAAACGAGCAGACGACCCTCCCAAAATGGTCCCTTGCGAAAGCTTGCTAACCAGCGAGGCACACAACAAAAATACCCCCCCCCCCTCCGAAATTAATAGGAGGGCAGGACGCGAAGGAACTCTGTAGGATTGAAACGGGAGTCTTTCCCAACCTGCGAAAATTAAACGAAATTCTTGCAACACTGTATAGGCACGCCTGCCCATGTCGTGGTGGTTCGCCGTCACTCTAGCCCATTTCGTGGGGATGCCCAAACCGACCGCTGAACTTCAATATCTTTTTTAGGTCGATACATGCTCTATAATAAATTTGAGCAATGAGAGGCACAGCTTGCAAGCTATGACCGATACGTACAGCTTGTGCTCCTGGGTCTCGTCAGGCAGGTGGCAGCAGCCAGTGGAGCCCGGGACTTGGGGGCCCATACATCAACTTCATAACCCCTGTCCCAAACCCTTACGTATAAAGTTCTTTTATCTACAATCATTGCATATTGCTACGGGGCGCCACAAATGAACATTCTAGAAAAGAGGACGATGTTTAGCGCGAGCTCGTGCAGACCGGGCTCCATATTGTATGCCTGCCTGTTTACCAAAAGTAAAGGCATTTTTCAGACGCCTCCTCCCCGTAACATTTTGGTGGAGAGTGCGGGTTTTCCCGCAGTCAACACCACGACGATTCTACGCAGCGGACGTTCCTTGGCTGCCTGTGCGATGCCTGATCAAGACGAACACGAGGATTCTTCGGAGACTACCCAAACCGTGCTTCGTCCAACTACGCAGCAACCAACAGCACCGCATCCAGCTGCTACTAAACGCACCGTCGTCCTGACTCAACCGCGTGACCCAGGCACATTTTCGGGCAGTGACAGTACTGACGTGGAGGAATGGCTTCAGCTGTACGAAAGGGTGAGCGCTCTTTACAACTGGGATCCGACGCTCATGTTGGCCAATATTATTTTCTACCTTGATGGTACAGCTAAAGTTTGGTTTTCCAACCACGAGGAAGATATCACGAGTTGGGACATCTGTAAGCAGAAACTCATCGATCTCTTCGGCAAGCCCGTTGGGCGTCGTCGTGCTGCACAGAAAGAACTAGCCTCCCGACTCCAGTCCGGCACCGAGTCGTACATCACAGACATACAACATGTGCTCGCCCTCTGCCGGAAGGTTGATGACAAGATGCCGGAATCTCAAAAGGTCGCGCACATCCTCAAAGGAATCGCCGATGACGCCTTCAATCTCCTCGTATTTCGAAACTCATCGACCGTAGACGACGTTATTAATGAATGCCGACGCTTCGAAGACGCAAAAAGTCGCCGTATCACTCCACACTTTTCACGTCTTCCCAACACGGCTGCAACATCAACCTGCGAGGACGCCCGTTTGGCACCAGCCCCTGCCGCTTCCGACAATATCGTGCGCATCGTGCGCCACGAAATCGAGGCAGCATCTCCCCTGTCTGACCAAGTCCAGGCCCCTGACGACTTTCGCGCCACGATTTCTTTAATCAAGAGTGTCGTACGCCAGGAACTGGCCAACGCCGGACTTCAGACGCTATGCCCCGTTAACCGACATGACTACCGACTGCCCAGTACACCTGATATGTACCGCGGACCGAACAACCGCCCACGTTACCGGAACCCGGTAGAATGGCGAACTTCCGATGACAGGCCGATCTGCTTCAACTGTGGACGAGTGGGCCATATTTCACGTCATTGCCGCACTTCCTGGGGTTGGCAGCCATGGTCGCATTATGCCAACACCCGACGCCCACCTGCTGGCTCTCGGATGCTGATCTACACGGCACAAGATGATGCTTCGCCATCCAGGCCCACCCAACCAAGCCGCTCCCCGTCGCCCTCTGGACGCATGTCCCGCTCAACTAACCGACGTCGCTCCCCCTCGCCCTCCTACCACCAGTCCTCGGAAAACTGACGGGCGCAGCTCCTAGAGGTGAGCCTGCTTCGACGACCCGACCCAAAATTCCTCTACACACGATACCCGGACACAACAACTTGATTAAAGTAAATGTTGACGGTACTTCTGTGGCAGCACTCATAGACACCGGCGCTCACATGTCAGTCATGAACTCCAGCCTTTGTGCTCGACTCAAGAAAGTGCTCACTCCTGCTCCGATCACTCTTGTCCGAGTAGCTGATGGTGCAACACCAGCGGTCACCGGGATGTGTGCCGCCCGTGTCACTGTTGCTGGACGGGATACCACTGTTCTGTTTTACGTACTGGACCACTGCCCACATGACATCATATTGGGACTCGATTTTCTGTCGGAGCATTCCGCCCTAATTGACTGTTCTGCTGGTGTTGTTCAGCTCGTCCTACCACACGCCGTTGACCCTCCTGATCCTGCGCCGCCAAAGCTATGCTCCGCCCTTCCATTTGTAACATTTGCCTATAATACGTCTCGGCATGACACTGCAGGTTTCTCGCCATTTTTCCTCCTGTACGGACGAGAACCTACGTTGCCTTTCGACACGCTCCTTCCTGCCGTTGGCCACACGTCAGAATATGCCCGCGATGCGATTTCTAGAGCTCTAGAGCACGTGAGATTGCTCGCCAGCGTCTGAGCGATTCGCAGGAACGACAACGACAGGTCTACAACGCGTGCCATCGTGATGTCCACTTCAGTCAAGGTGACACAGTCCTTCTCTGGACGCCGTCGCGGCGAGTTGGCCTGTGCGAAAAGCTGGCTTCACCGTACTCGGGTCCGTACCGTGTGGTGCACCAAGTCACCGACGTGACATATGAAATTGAACCTCTTAACGCCACCAGCGCGCGATCGTGTTCTGACGTTGTTCACGTCACTCGGTTGAAACGATGCATTTCCGATGGAGGCGGAAATGTTGTAGGCCCGTGTGCTCAGATTTGGGTGCACGGTAAAGAACCCCAGGTGGTCGAAATTTCCGGATCCCTCCACTACGGCGTCTCTCATAATCATATAATGGTTTTGGGACGTTAAACCCCACAAATCAATCAAATCGGCTGAAACGATTTTACTCAGACCAACCAAGCACCGAGACGGTGCCTTCGCCGCCGGGGGTGATGCTACGGGGCGCCACAAATGAACATTCTAGAAAAGAGGACGATGTTTAGCGCGAGCTCGTGCAGACCGGGCTCCATATCGTATGCCTGCCTGTTTACCAAATATAAAAGGCATTTTTCAGACGCCTCCTCCCCGTAACAATATTACCAAAGCTAACATAAGGAGATTAAAGCTAGAATATAACAAGATAACTTTTGAAAAAAAAAACGGCAGGAATGCGCGGAACGCGCAGCACTGTCACATCGAAAGCTCGAAGAGCGTCCTTTCAGAGCCCTTTCTAAGCACTATTTGAGTAACTGCTACAAACACACTTGCTGGTTACCACGTAATAAATAACCACAATTTTTGTGTAGTAGGCTCCTATTCACTATGCTATCATTCATAATTCTTCGGAGAAGCATGGTGTCCGCTGTGCAGACTTGCTAGGAATATTGTGCGATATGTTTGTGCACTGACTACGACGATGAATATTTATGCCTGAAGTGACTAGGCGCCACAGTTAAAAATTAGGAAACCCTAAAGCTTTGCCTTTAGGACTTGAACGCGATAGCGACATCCTGTCCCTATTGCGTACTTCAAACACTTAGCACATGAAACCTTTTGAATTTGCTATGCACCCACTACGTGACTTTAAGGCAATAGGTGCAGTAGCGTGTGTGCCTTTTGTAGTGGGGCACCGGCTTTCAATCACAAAGCCATTATGACAATGACGGTGTCTTGAGGGGCTAGTTGGTAAATAATTCACAGGAGAAAATTGCACACATAAACAAAAGACAACACAAAGAAGGAACACTTAAGCAGGTCGAGCGCGAACTACCAGCTGTTTAATTGACCGCAGATCATCGGTAAAATAGGGAAACCTAACATAGCTGCGCAGACGTGCTAAAGTACATCACGTGCCAACGCACTTTATTGATCAAAAAGGACATGTCTGCACCATAGAGCGATATGGAGGCCTCACTTACACAGCTATCACATTTCGTGTTAATGAATAACGCTTCCAGGACCTCACGAGCACCCGTGTATCTGCTATGACCCAGTATCTCAGTCTGCTGAAATAGTGCTTCACGTCCACAGGCTGCGCAGTGGGCAGGCAAGTTATCCATTTCGTTATTTTTGATTGACAGCATGGTGTTCCCATAAGCGGTCGTTCACGCAGCGACCTGTCTGGCTCGCATAAGAGTTGCCGCAGGAAAACGGAATCCCGTACACCACTCCCACATCGCATTGCACCATCGGGTCGGCATGCTTCTTGCTACACGGGCTATTGCGCTCTTCGCCGCTCGAAATTCGCGAGCACAACCTCGAAAGTTCCTTGGGTGCAGAAAACACAATGCAAACTCCGTGGCGGTTGGCAACCTTCCTCAGGTTGTGTGTTACCCGGTCTAAGTAGGGTAACACTATAGACTTCTCACGCCCATTGGGTGCGTCTTTCAGCCGTGGCTTTCACGAGCGTCCTTTGAGCTTCTTCAGGAGGGTTTCAGCCACCCCTGCCAGCACAGACTGCGGGAACCCAGCTGCCTTTAGTCGTCCAATCTGAGCACAGAATCTGGCTAGCCTCTCATGTGAGCATGACCTCACCAGCACAGACTCCAAACACATTGACGCAATTGTACTTTTTACTACCTTATAATGTAAAGATGTGTAAGGTAAAGGTTTCTTTCTAGCACGCGGACCACGCATAACAAGTATGCTGAACCCCCACTCGCTCTCAAACAACCCTGACTCGGTTTCCTCTACGCTCCAGGGTTGCTTGATTCTCTATTTTTCGGTCACACATAAAATGATAATTTTCGCTCACAACCAACGACACCGACACCAGAATTTCTGCAAAACTAGCTCTTAAACGTTATCGCATTAATAGGTGAACAAGAACAAGCTTTTGTAGAGGGTTGGATCATTGGACGACCCACTTTTTACGCACATTGCATTATGTGACGCCTGGTTGTTCCTTTTATGTTCTAGAACGCTTTATCACTCATATTAGTGCGATTCTCTTCCCGACATCAAGCCTGCCAAAGGCCAGTTTTGAAATCAACTTCAAGCACAGGCTTGGCTCAGTGGTAGAATAATGGGCTGGCACGCTGCAGACCCGTGTTAAAATCTCATTCAGTCCTTAGTGTTTATTTTTTTTTATTTACGGAATTTTTACAGCGAAAACTGTTATAATATCAGAACACGGGTCACGCGCAGCGACGTACTTGGCCGCCACCGCCGGTGTCTGTAACCAGTATCGACAGACAAAAAAAAAAAAAACTCCGTAAATAAAAATACAATGAAATTCAAACCCGGGTCCGCTTTTTCAAAGATAAAAGCAAAATCCAGGCGTCCACACAATGCGAATTGCGTAACGAGTGGGTCATCCAATGCTCCAACCTATTAGAAAACTTGTTCTTGAGCGGCAATTGACTGTGGCACATACCCACGTCAAGCATAATTCTTCATCTTCATCAGCCACTTCATAAAAAGATGCACAAAATTTCTAGCAAGTGTGTAGTAGATACCACTCTTAGGGGCAGTGGGTACCCAGCAATGTGACTGTAGCATCCCAAAGAGTGTTTAGAAATGTCTCTGAAAGGCCGCTCTTCTAGCTTTCGCTTGGACTGTGTTGCTCATTGCGTGCAGGCCTGACTTTTTTTTTTCTTAATTCTTGCAATATCGATTACGGACACCAGCGCCGGCGGCGGACAACTACGGCGCCGCACGTGACCTGTAATCTGGTCTCATAACAGATTTCGCTGTGAAAGGTAAATAAGGTTAGGTGAAATGGAAGATTGTAGAAGCAACAACAATAAACCGAAAGACGCAGAAGGCGTCAGGAAACAAACTGTTGTAAATGATACGCCAGCTGACAGCAAGCGCAATCAATATACTTGGTCTGATTACGTAAAGTGCAGTCACTAAGAGGCGGTAAAACAGAGAAACAGACTTAGTATGAAAGAATAAAACCACAGCCAAAGACGAGAGCAAGTTCAATGGAGTGCTAAGCTTCAGAAGTTCGCTGACATAACATGGAATCGGGTCACTCAAAGTGGCGTTAAATTGGGAATACTTGTAGGGTTTTGCCTCCGCCAGTCAACTCTATTTACATGTAAGTTAAAAATGGTAATAATAGAAGTCACGTAAACACAGGTGGAGGCAACCTTGATCCCGCCGGCCTCAGCACTGAAGCTGTTCGACCCGGTCAAAAGCACTTTGGCGTTAAGAAATAAAGGATTCTTGAACAGGCGCGTCACGGGAGAGCTAACGTTTCGATCAACAGACTTTAATTCTACAAGGCTGCAGCTTGTAAGCAGTGATGCAAAGGAGCTAGACAGTTTGGGTGGTCATGAGGCACTTAGTAATTAAATACTGAGCTTTCACGTCTGTCCAATCGACCAAGCTTGCTAATGACTCGCGCAAAACTAATTCACTGAAATTACGTTAACGTACTTGACAAACGACAATTTCTCATGTATTTGTATTGTAAACGTGGTCAACTGCCGCTGCACGTTTGCTCAACGAGCAGAAAGTTGTAACTGTAGCGATTGATACTTCCGGTGACAGCCTCTTGCTAACTATAACAAATTTTCTTTTAAATACTTTTTCCATGAAGCTTCAGCCAGTTGTAGTTTTAACTTATACATTAGGACACTCATGGTCGAGAGTAATCATGTGTTATTATTGTTTTGATCACAGCCTTTACAAAGAATAAATAATTTACTGTTTTCTATCCAGGCCTGGGAATATCCGCTCCCATTCTTTGTCCTCGGCGCCGTTGCTGTGGCCACCCTACCCATCATTGTCAAGCGGCGACGACAGTTTGAAAACAATGGTGGTGATTTTTTTAATTAATTTCATTATCTTAAGCAGCGCGGCAGGATTTTGTAGGCAACAGCTAATGCAGTAATTTCATCGGTCTGCATTTGACGCGGTTGCTGTCACAGTTTCCCTTTTTTTGGACGCATTCATGTCGTTTAGCATAACTGCTATTGAACGACACGGTGAATAGCCCTAAAAGAATAAAGCGTGTAACAGACTTACACAAGCCGTCATACGCAATATGAAGCCAGCGCTGCCCAGGTGGCGCGCATACCCTTCCTCTATGCGTGCCTAAAATTTACACGATGCGCCGCCCTGGCGAGCTGGCTGAGAACCAGCAGAGCCGCTGCACGGCCGCCTGGATCGGCGCGCGCACCCCGCGCACCGATCTACTGTGTACTACTGCGTACACGTTGCACGTGCTGAAACGCATGGTGAACACCGTGCGGCACTACCCCAGCATTGCCCGATGTGCGTCGTGTTGCATATATTGTTTCGAGGTGGTGGGCATGGCTCCGCCGTACACTAGCACCCCACCACTCATTGAACGCAACGCTCCTACTTCAAAAAAAAAAAAAGAGTACGAATAATAAAGACAAACTAAGAGTTAAGCGTTCCTAAACCATACTTATTTACTCAAGATTCACGCGATAGCCCTGCCCCACTCTGCAACGCCTTTACTCAAGTTCCCTCCGCGGGACGATGCGGGCGGCCTTTTGTATCTTTCTTCAATTTTCTGTCCATTTATAGAAAGTCTGCCCCTTTTGAAATAGTTGCGGGTGACCACTTTAGCAAATGGCCAAATGATTGCAAATATCACTATTACTTTTAACAAGGAAAAGCAGCTGTATTTTTTCTCTCATTGGCACAGTTTCCCGTGCATTTTTATATCGTCATTATCTTAATAAAAATTGCAGAGAGCCTTGTTTTCCTCTCTCGTTCTTCATAACACTACTTACATAGCGGGGAAAGGGCATGCCCTGGTTTCACACCAGACATGGCACTATAGCACGTGGTTTGTATCTCAGACGAATAACTTGACGTAATTTATATTTTTAGAGAGCAAACAACAAGATCTGAGCGAAGCGGAAGCGAACATCAATCACTTGTGGCTCCTCGTGGATCCCATTTTTTTCGCCGATATGGTCACGCTCACTATGGTCTGGATTATCCTCGGATTCAACGAACCAACACTGGAGCCAAGTCTCACGAAGGTACGAAGCCATTGGGCTCTCATGTTTTCATTACAGCTTGTAAACTGAAGACAAAGCCCTGCCAAGGCCATGAAACTTGCGGAAGCGTTCCGCAATATTCTCAGATAAACTCGTAAGTTGCGTTGTGTTGTGAATTTCGTTTTTCCTTCATTATTACTGTTTTGCGGTGATCTAGCCGGAAGTTGGCAAAGACAGGGCGTGTGCATGTCCCAGTGGTGTTTGCGGTCGTTTCCCCTCAGGCGAAATACACCACAGAGCATATCGAGACGTCCTATACACCGCAAGCCAGTCGCTGTCCATGATCTTCATCGTCATCAAAGTCTTTGCGTATACTAGGTACCATTCATGGGCTCTGCCGTAATGGCAGAAAGAGGTTGTGTGGTCTGGAACGCCGTCAGTCTTTATTGTCGTTTGCGTCTTCGACATAACATATGTCAGAAAGAATGGTCGACATGGCTCGACTTGAAGGAGCTTCGCCCCTAACAAGGAAACTAAGAAAGTCTTAAACCGCATACATGCCCAATGCCCGTCCAATAACTCGTCAAGGGGGCCTAGAAAGTTACTTCAAACCCAGCTGCTGAACTTATTCAATTCGCAAATCTTCACTTGGACGCAGTGTTGTGATATGTCACACCCAGCTTCTAAATGAAGTAGTTTAACTGTACATTCTGCCTGTAAAAGACAGTTTTACGCTTGTTTTGTTATCATCAGTTCGTTAATAAATAAATGAAAGCATCGAGGAAAGAAAAAAATTAAGGCATCTTCGACGTATTTGTGAAGAAAGTGCGGAGCAGAGTTGTTTCACCTCGGTTTCCTTTTTTTTTTTTTACTCCCCTGTTTCTTGTTCATTTTCTAAGTGCTTTTTATGTTTTTCTCTTCATAAATACTTTTGTTCTTATTTGTTCTTTTCTCTTTTTTTATATTTCTCGCTTCTTTCCTCCTATTTTTGATACCTGGTTTGCGTTGCCATGTTTGCCTAGCCATAGTTGTATAGTGCCCGCACCTAACATATTCATCAATGTGCTTGAAGCAGAAGGGGAAGAAAACTTCTTTTTAGCGCGTGCTTAATATCTACAGTTGGCAGGGCTATATGTGTAGATTTGCCTGCATTAAAATAATCTATGAGGTGCCCGAAGAACAAGAGGAAGAAGACTTAATGATCAGTATGCTACAGTTGGGTACCGTCCCATTCATGGCCTATCCCCCTAGGTAGGTTGCGCCAAGGTGTTGAGGAACCAACCAACCAACCAAAGTTGGGCACAATGTATGTGGTTTTGCTTGTGTTACGCCAGGCGAAGACGGCAGCACACGACAGCCGTGCCCCTTAAATTTACTGCTCCACACTTAAAGACAAGAGAGAAGGTAGGAAGGTTAATCAGACACTTGTCGGGTGCGCTATGCTGAAGTAATCGGAAAGAGGAGTTCAAAATGAGAGTGGAAAGAAAGGTTATGTTAGTAAATGCACCGACGCGTATTTGTGGTCCTATGCAAGATCGGCCGAGTTCCGCGAAACTCGGGTTCATTCTAAGCTCTGGCGACAGCCCCTCATGAATGAGCCAGCAGTACGAAAAAGACAAATTCACCCCTCGGCACCCTGCATTTCATTGGTTGCAATGGAACCAGTCACCGCGTCAAGGATGACCTTCTAAGTTGGGCAGTGTTTTCAAAGGAGAGGCATCTTCTTTCATTTTTTTTTGTCGTTCTACTGAGTGCAGATTTGCACACATGCAATAAATGTGCCAGAAACATTTCATAGTGATATTTTTTTAAAGGCACGGGCGTTTAGATTTATTTTGAAGTCTTAATTGCCTGCACTAAGGCTGTTTTAAAATAATCAGCACGGCGGCCTTAGATATCAGTACCAGCCGAGCGTCTTACAACATCGCGACCACAGTTAAACCCGAAGCCACGTGTTAATAATCACGGCCAGCCTGTACAATCTAGCGCACTACTCGGCTGGTGTGCGTCATCCTTGTTGCCATCGTCTGGTTCTATTCGAGCACGTGCGGTCGGCTAATTTGCTATTTGTCTGGACGGTATACTTGGCTATCTAGGCCAGGACATGCTATGACCAAACCACTTACGCCAAGACATGGCAAGGCCGAAAAAATTACGCTAAGTGTTGAGAAGACCATGCTAATGAAGTCATGTAAAAATAAGACCGAGCGAACTAAAGCATGCTAGTTGATAAAGTAATTTAGTTATGCTAATAACGCGAAGTTAATCATAAGCAGGCTAAGTGAATTCATGCTAAAAGCCCTTACAAATATGATAACAATTAGTATGCTGCTAATCAGGATTACGTTTGGTAGCTCAGTACTGATGATGGTCTTGCTAATTGTGCCCGAGATTTTTGTCCATTTATTAAAACCTTATAAATGAAGACAAACAGCTAAGTGTAACGGTCGTTAAGCCTCAGTCAATTAGCAGAATCAAAATTAAGACAGAGCTGACGTGGGCTTCACTTCGACCCCGACCACGCACATGAGTAGACGACCAACTAAAAAGCTGCAGGATGATAGGTTATCACAAAGTCCTTTATGGCTGCTGCCTTGGACAAGTAGTGTCAGCTTAACAAATTATTTTATATGCAAAAAAGCCCCGCCAGAGCGGTGTAGTGGCTAAGCTACTATCCTACAGGTTGCAGGATAGAATGCTGGCTGCGGTGACTGCATTTTTGATGGAGGCTAAAATGCCTTAGGCTCGTGTGCTCAGGCATTGGTGCACGTTAAAAACCCAGGCGGTCAAAATTTCCGGATCCCTCCACTACGGCGTCTCTCAATATTATATGGTGGTTTTGGGACGTTAAACCCCACACATATAAATCAATTATATGTAAAGAAGCTGCCGCTTAGCATTCACCGCACTAAACGCCTGACAGTCACATCGGCACTTTCGCAGTCACGAGCTGAACTGGGGCCTTCACATAATTAACGAGTTGGTATCCGATTTCACGCGTCAATCAGTTTGATTGACGGACGCCCGCGACGAAGATCGGGTTCGCCCACTGCATTTGCTCTTTTGGCTCGCACTCTATTTTTCCCAGTCCCTGCGCTTCTTTTCTCGGAATTTCTCTCGATTCTAGCTTGAAATACATAGATCATATTTCTGACATCAAAAAGAAAATAGCATACGGCATCCGCGCTCTGATTAAAACTCGTCCATACTTCACACGTTCCACTTTACTGTCACTCTACTATTCATTCGTTCACTCTCATATTCATTGTGGCATAATGTGCTGGGGTAAAACCTATAACACTCATTTGGCTTCCCTTCAAGTACTACAGAACCAATCCATAAGAATCATTACTAACAGTTCACGTTTTCCTAACGGTAAATGCCTACTTCATGATAACAACATTCTGACCATTTCAGAGCTCTTCAATAACAACTTAGGTATCATATTCTATAACTACATAACCAAAACACTACCTCCTATCTGCTTCTCATCTTCCGACCTTGTTGCTCATAGTAATACTAGATTTGCACGTAACAATAACGTCCTTTTGCCTAAGGTACGTACTAATTAAGGCAAACTAAATGCTGAATTTTCATCTATAGCATTTTGAAACACAATACCATCTGTTATTAAAAATGCTAGAAACTTACATCACTACAAGAAAAAACTAAAATTACACATTATGCATACCTAGTTTTACTGTTTCTTACCATAGCGCTACCTTGTTTGAATGTCCTCATGTTATGTATTACAACTTTTTGTATTCTTTTTCAGTTATACTCTTCACAATATTCATTGATTCATTTGGTTTTCTTTTATATTTGTTTTCCTTTGGTATGTATATATATATATATATATATATATATATATATATATATTGTTAAGCGGTTTATTGACGGACACTCAGCGATGTTTCACGACAGCGACAGTCAATGCGGGGATCGACTCTCTGCACGAGCTGCTCTTCTTCTTAAGAAAAGGGCGACCCACTAAAAGGCGCTGAAGAGGATGACCCACTGTTCAAAGGCTTTACCACAACTTCCCCGGGTACGAAAAGGGAGCCGCCTGGCGACCTAACAGCTGGTTACAATCAGCGGATCATGGTAGGCCTTGAGGCGCTCCACGTTAACAATGTCCCGTCCTCGACGACGCATGTCCGAAGATTGTTCGATGGGTTCAATCAAGTAGTTGACTGGGGAAGTGCATTTGACGACACGGTAGGGGCCTTCGTATTTAGGCAATAGTTTTGAAGATAGGCCAGTTGCAGTAGTAGGGATCGAGAGCCAGACGAGCGCTCCAGGGAGGAATGTGGGCGCAGTAGTACTGGCGTCAGCGCGAATGCTTTTTTGCCGCTCTTGATCATGCGCAGTAAAGGTCTTTGCAAGCTCTCGACATTCTTCAGCAAGCTTGGCTGTAGCAGAAATAGGTGCCCACTCAGACGGATCTGGCCTGTACGGAAGTATCGTGTCGATGGTGTGTGACGGGTGCCTTCCGCATAATAAAAAGAAAGGTGAAAAGCCAGTAGTGCTCTGAGGGGCGGTATTATATGCGTAGGTGACGAAGGGTAAAATGGAATCCCAATTCGTGTGATCGGCGGCGACGTACTTGGAGAGCATGTCACCCAGCGTACGGTTGAAGCGTTCTGTGAGGCCATTCGTCTGCGGGTGGTAAGCGGCAGTTTTGCGGTGAACAACGTTGCACTCTTTGAGAATGGCTTCGACGACTTCAGACAGGAAGACGCGGCCTCGATCACTGAGCAGCTCCTGAGGTGGACCGTGTCGCAGCATGAATCGTTGGAGCAGGAAGGAGGCCACATCGCTCGCTGTAGCCGCGGGGAGAGTGGCAGTTTCGGCGTATCGCGTGAGGTGGTCCACAGCAACAATGGCCCAGCGGTTACCAGCCGACGTTAGTGGAAGTGGCCCATACAAATCGATGCCAACGCGCCCAAACGGCCTGGCAGGGCAAGGTAGAGGTTGCAGACCTACCGGCGACAGGTGCGTTGAAGTTTTGCGGCGCTGACATTCTATGCAGGAGCGAACGA